AATGTAAAGTGTGTGGGAAAGCCTTCAGGCAGAGTTCAGCCCTCATTCAACATCAGAGAATGCACACTGGAGAAAGACCCTATAAATGCAACGAATGTGGGAAAACATTCAGGTGTAACTCATCCCTTAGTAACCACCAGAGAATTCACACAGGAGAGAAACCATATCGATGTCTGGAATGTGGGATATCTTTTGGCCAAAGTGCAGCTCTTATTCAACATCAGAGGATTCATACAGGAGAAAAACCCTTTGAGTGTAACACATGTGGGAAAACTTTCAGACAGAGCTCATCACTTATTGCCCATCAAAGAATTCATACTGGAGAGAAACCCTATGAATGTAATACATGTGGCAAACTTTTCAGCCAGAGGTCATCCCTTACTAATCATTACAAAATCCACATTGAAGAAGATTCCTTGAAAGTAGATTTGCATGTGTGCAAGCCTTAAACCAAAGCTCATCACAAGATACATATTTGAGATTGATTTAATAAATGTAATGAACATGAGAAAACTATTTTAATTTTGTTTTCATCAGATATTAAATTCTAAGGATAAAAAGCTTTGAGTATGTAATGAGTATATGGAAAACTTTTGTACCTTTTTGTCACTTTTGAAAATATCCCAAGACAAGTAAATCACAGTTGCAAATACTGATTTTAACCACTTGGAAGATAAAAGATGGGGATTTTTCTATCTCTTTATAGAGCATTATACACTATATGTGATAGGTAAACATGAGAAAAATCTGGGGGTAGGAATTCTGGGTTTCTCAAAGACATCAACTGTATGAGCCAGTAGCAAAAGATAATTGATCTTAAAATATATGCACATGTAGACCAAATAATAGATAAAAAACAAACTGCAAACTACCTCAGTCTCTGGAATTTGCCTTTTGCAAAACTGTTGTCAAACGTTCTGCATGGTTTTCATTAAAAAAGAGAAAGGAAAAAAAAAACCCTGTTCTCTTACTCCTTTATTCTTCTAGTTATTTCCAAACTACATCAAGAGTCTCTCAAAATTTTTAAAACAATTTCTTTTAAAAAAAGTTTTTTAACATTTATTTATTTTGGAGAGAACATACAGGTCATGAGCGGGAGATGGGCAGAGAGAGAGGAAGACACAGAATCTGAAGCAGGCTCCAGGCTCTGAGCTGTCAGCACAGAGCCCAACGCAGGGCTCAAATCCACAAATTGTGAGACTGAGCCAACCAGGTGCCCCTAAAACAATTTCTAATTTTGTTCTCAGAATTACTTCTTAGTCGCCTTGAAGTCATTTATTATTTAACTGTACTTGCTGTGTTCTGAACAGCATGTTAATTTAAGTAGAAAAAAATGTACTTTTTTAACTTCAAGGTTAATAGCTTCAGAGTTAAAGCTATTAATATTTTTTTTAGTTGGCTGCAAAAGAAATCCTAAGAAGTAATTTAAAGAACATGTCACTGTGGCAACATCTTGAAAATGAATCAATCTCATGAAATAAAAGCATGTTTTCCCTACTTGATCTTTTCAAATTAAAAAAAAAAAAAAGACTGCAAAGGCAAATAAAGGAAATAATTCTAAGCCTTAGAAATGGTTTGCTTAATCCCAGGTTTGAGCCAAGCACTATCCTGGGCGCTGGTAATTATACAGGAAAGAGAAACAGTCCCTATCTTCAAGAAGTCATGAATTGAGAGGATGGGGTTGAAGGGAATAGTGAATAAATATGCAAATTATCATAACATTGAGGTATTTTTCACAGAGAAATAGAGGTTACAATGATACTGTGTTACAGAACATCTTATAGAGATTTAAACAGGATTCAGAAAGAAGGGACAGAGCCTAACCAAGGGACCTTGACCATATACAGTGACCTATATGACAGTGATGCCTGAGCCCAGTTTTGAAAGAATAGCAATTCTCCAGAGAGTGAAATAAGTACTCCCTTAAAAAAAAAAAATTATTTATTTTGAGAGAGCACATGCTTGAAAGCAGGGCAGGGACAGAGAGAGAGGGAGAGAGAGAATCCCAAGCAGGCTCTGCGCTGCCAGTGCAGAGCTTGATATGGGGCTTGATCTCACAAAAGGTGAGATTATGACCTGAGCCGAAATCAAGAGTCAGGTGCTTAACTTCTAAGCTTCAGTCTGTTCAGTTATCTTCGACCTCCTAAACTCATTCTCCACACATTATCATCAGAGCAATTTCCCTTACATATAATCTTTAATTGGTTCTATAATTTCGGAATCAAATTCAAATTCCTTTAGAATAGCAATTAAGACCTTTGGTCTTAATTGGCCTCTGCCTTCTTCTCAAGCTTCAACCTCTGTCATTCTCATTATTTAATGTTCTACAAATGTGCCATGCTATCACCCACCTGTACATTTGCGTATGTGGCTCCCTCTCTTTGAAGTACTGATCTCTCTCACTCAGGGCGCCTTTATGTTTGCCGGTGGGAGATGATAAATCTTTAAATGGAAAGGTCAGGAACCAGCATCACTGGTAGAAGTAACATCTGATCCCTGTACTCAAAAACCTGTCAGGAAGTATCTGTGTGTCTGGATATTATTCAGGTTCAGTAATGAATGAAAAAATCTGAAAACTGACAGAACGAAAGGATTTTAACTAAAGAATTCCTGGCCCGGAAGGGCTCTTCCTTTGCTTCAGGAAATGTGATATCTGTCCTTGTAAGGAGCCTCATTTACCAGGCTACTGACCAGGATTCTGTGGGCAAAGTCAGAGTTCCAGATACACAGAGTCACAGGCCTGTTATCCATGGAGCTGCCCTGTGGGCCAGGACAGGAACTTAGGGCGAGGAAAGGTCCTAAGCCTGGGGTGAGAAATATAGAAAAAAAGAAAATGGATGTTAGATTGTTGTGATCAAAAGGCTGCTCTTGTCCCTCAGTTTCTTTGTCTTCCTTTGTTGCCTTAAAATTTTTAATATTTCATTAGCATAATACCCATCCATGTTGTCACAAATGGCAGCAGTTATCATCCTCTTTATGAATGAGTATAATCCATTGTGTATATATGCCACATCTTTCTTATCTATTCATATATCAATGGTGGACACTTAGGTGGTTTCCATATCTTGGCTATTGTAAATAATGCTGCAATAAACATAGGGGTGCAGGGGCACCTGGGTGGCTCAGTCAGTTAAACTCATTCAGCTCAGGTCATGATCTCGTGGTTTGTGGTCCTAAGCCCCACATCTCGCTCTAAGCTGACAGCTCGGAGCCTGCTTGGGATTCTCTATCCCTACCCCAACTTGTGCTTTCTCTCACTCTCTCTCAGAATAAACTTAAAAAAAAAAAAAAAAAACCATAGGGGTGCATATATCTTTCAAATTAGTGTTTTTGTGTTCTTGGGGTCAATATGCAGTAGTGGAAATATTGGACCATATAGTATTTCTAACTTTTGAGGAAAATCCATATTGTTTTCCACAGTGGCTATGCCAACATTCCCACCAACAGTGTATAAGGGTTCCTTAAGTCAGACTGAGAAATACAAATACCATATGATTTCATTTATATGTGGAATCTAAAGAAACAAAACCAAAAACAAATGAATAAGCACAGAAAAAGCAGAATCATACCTATAAATATAGAGGACAAACTATGGGGGGGGCACAGGTAAAATGGGTGAGGGAGAGTGGGAGGTACAGGCTTCCACTTATGGAATGAATAAGTCACAAGAATAAAAGGTACAGCATAGGGGGCACGTGGGTGGCTCAGTCAGTTGAGCATCCAACTTCAGCTCAGGTCATGATCTCAAAGTTCATGGGTTCAAGCCCCATGTCCGGCTCTGTGCTGACAGCTCAAAGCCTGGAGCCTGCTTTAGATTCTGTCTCTCTCTGCCCCTCCCCTGCTCATGCACTGTCTCTCTCTCTCTCAAATAAACATTAAAAATTTTAAAGTACAGCATATGGAATATACTCAATGATAAGGCAATAGCATGGTATTGTGACAGATGGTAGCTACACGTGTGGTGAACATAGCATAATGTATAAATTAATCACTATGTTGTACACCTGAGACTAATGTAACATCTGTCAACTATACACAAGTTAAAAAGAAAGATTCTTAATAATTCAGTTGAGTGACCTAATCAAAAAAAAATAAAAGATATTTTAACATTAGGTAATCCATTAATGTCTTACCTGTGAATTTGTTAAAATATGGGAGATCACGGTATTGAAAATAATAATCTAATGTTTTAAGAACTAAGCTAGTAATATGTCATTTTAAGGTAATAAAGAATCTTGAGCTTCCCCTTCTGTCTGTAATGAAGTCACAAGATCCATACTTCCTTCCAGCATCAAATGAGTAAAAAGCCCAATGAACTACAATGAAGCATAACGACAGGAGTGCAGGGCGCTGTCTGGAGGCAGGAACCATCCTGGCTGTCCCAGCTCAGAACTTCTGGAGCTTCCAGGATGCAGTGAGGAAGGGATCCAGGCAGAAAGCAGGGGTCCCCCTGAGTTAAGGAAATAGGGATGACAATTTGAGAAGGGAAAGGCAGCCTCCGGTCCAAGTATTAAGGAGGTATGTATGTACTTGCTGCAACAAGGGGGCAGTTTTTAAAAAAGCTCAGAAGAGTCTGATGAGAGTGTGGTAAAGGAAAGAATCTGTTAGCGTGACTGGCCCAGTCTCTAAATAGTACCTTTACCTAAATTTTTAAAGAAGTTTCTGATCTTTTAAAAAAATGTCTAGGGGCGCCTGGGTGGCGCAGTCGGTTAAGCGTCCGACTTCAGCCAGGTCACGATCTTGCGGTCCGTGAGTTCGAGCCCCGCGTCAGGCTCTGGGCTGATGGCTCGGAGCCTGGAGCTTGTTTCCGATTCTGTGTCTCCCTCTCTCTCTGCCCCTCCCCCGTTCATGCTCTGTCTCTCTCTGTCCCAAAAATAAATAAACGTTGAAAAAAAAAATGTTTTAAAAAAAAAAATGTCTACTTGGCATTGTTATGAAATTATGTGGTTTTTCTGATACCAGTTCTTTGAAACTACTTTTGAAACTACTTTCGAGACTACTTTATAGCCTAGCATGAGGTAATTTTTTAAAATAAAAGTGTTAAAAATGTGTTTTCATTAATTTTGGAATTTCTATATGTCTCTACATTAAATCAAACATTAATTTTGCTGTTCAGAAATTCTATATACTTGGTGACTTTTTGGGGGGGAGTTGGGGATCAGCTTTTCTATCAGTTACTGATAATAATAAGTTAAAAATATCTCTGTAATGGATTTGTCAATTCTCTTGTCAATTTTTGCTTTATATATTTTGAAGCTACATCATTAAATACATGAGTTTATTAATATTTTCTTGGTGAATTAACTTTTTATTGTTATGTAATTACTTTTCCTACTTCTAGTAGTGTTTTTTCTTAACGTGTTATTTTGC